CAATCCAAAAATGCGTAGCCTTTTATGTTGCTGCGTTTTCCATTCATCATATCGCTCTCATTCAGCCTCGTTCCCATATTCTGGTGTTATTGATTTGAAGGCTACTTTATTGACTTTGTAAAAGTCATCGCATAGGTCCGATAATCATATTGACCAGCGGATTTGGGAAAAATGCTTGTAAGCTTAATGGACTAAATGACTCCTTGTTGTAACAGTAATTTTTCTTCAGGTAACTTATGCTCATTATATTACACCTTTTGTTGCAAGAAGCATGTCAATAAGTAGAAAAAATATAATGGTGTCCCCATGTATTATATAGAAGCTTATCTATATCGTTTAAGAAGGCTATAGGCATTCCACTGTTTTCTGTTTAAACTCTTGTTACCAAGTTCCTATTTATCAATCATTTTCTTTTCACTTTTTGATCGTCATGTGCTGCATATGCGTGGAAACTACAATTTCGGAGGATAGTATTATTCATTGACTTATCGCTCTTGTTCATCACAATAAATAATAGTGAAATATCTGCAACCACCTTTAGACTAGCCTATATCAAAATAGCTGTTAAAACGGAATTTTATTACACGCTAAATTGAATCTTAATCTATCCTACCATCCCAGAATGTCATCTGCGCTGGGGGGATGGAGAGCATGTCGAACGGGCCTTTCTACCTTCCAAGATCAGATCCCACGTATGGTGGCACCATGCTTATTGATGGGATTGTCAATGATGGACTTATAGATGCTTACAGCCATTTCCACATGGTAAGCTTTATCCGAATATTCTTTTCTGATTCTCGTGGGTTTAATCTTATTTTATTCACATTTGTTTATCCAGGGAATTTGTGCTGAGGAAACTGCTGCTAAGTATAAAATCTCACGCGAAGCCCAGGACGCTTTCGCAAAAGCTTCATATGAACGAAGTCAAGCCTCTGCTAAAGCCGGCTTCTTTGACAAGGAGATTGTACCGGTGCAGGTCAGTCTATACCCTGAATGAATTTAAGTTCTAGAAATTTTATTTCATTTGCTAATTTTTCTTTTTGATGAACTTCCAACGGATGGGCCAAACTACTTTGATTGACAGCCTGTTGTCCCAACGAAATATTCCTTTTTAACTTAATTAGCCTTACTGTTAAAAACTTGATATTCTCTTATATTGGATAAAGGAGTTATTTTGTAGCTTGTCTTCAGGCTTATATTTTATTCAGGAATAACAAGTTACAGATTTGTATTTATTAGTAGGTTTTCAGTCATATATATAATGCATATTCACCTTATTGCGTTAAGGTGATGAATTATCAGTTTCCGCTAACTTATTCTATTCAATTTATTGGTAAAAATCCGCCTGTGGAAATGAAGTTGAATTTTATCCTTACAGTTAGTACGGATCCAGTTTATGCATCTTGTCAGCAAAATGAAGGTTTCTATATTCTCATGATCACCTTTCCCGCCCTTCATCTATTGGGTGAAATTTCTGCGACTAGCTGTCTTGTTTTGAATAAAAACAGAACTGGAAACGGGTTTATATGTAAGCTGAACTGATCAGTCGGACCTATTTCCCATACCTTCGAATACTTTTCTTCGCTCCCATTAGTTATTCTTTTTATTCGGTGATTCCTTAATTCTGTAGAATTTCCTGATTGCTTAGCCATTTTTTCCTCATTTGGATTGAATTGTTGTCAGCTAGGCAAGGATGATTGAATCAAATACTTTATTTTTGTTTTACTTATGTTAAATCATTTTTAATGATAAGCTTCTAGTGTTATAAGAGTTACTTTGGTTTACTTTGGTTTAGTTTACAAAATCCTGGGTTTTCAAGGGGCTGAACAAGTCTTGTCGTTAGAGAAGCTGGACTCAGTCTAATTCTTGCTCTGATTAACTGGGTTTCGAACCTTCGATAGATATTGAGTAAGAACATTAATCACTTTAGATGATATACGAATTATGGTAAAATATTCTACAATTAAATTAATAAAAGAATCTCGATGCCGTTGAATTTGGCTTGCTTACCAATACGCTTTATCATCTAGGGTTGACTAATTTTTATATCGGCTTCATCTTTAACTTAACGAAATTTGAAACTAGTTCGCGCGCACCAAGAGTAATTGTCACATCTTTGCTATATAGCCACGAGTGCCACTGGGTTATAACATATGTGGCTATCCTAAATCCCATTGAGAGGGGATCTGTCGATGAGGCAAGCTTATATTCATCATTACCTTTGGCATCGTAAGGCCTTTTAAAATCAATTGTTATTAATTCAACAATAAATCCTTAACCGCTGGTATGAAGATCAAGGCTGAGTGGTCTTAAGCATGGTCTTGGTCTCCTTTCGTTGTATTGAAGCTGTTTGACTTTTTCGCAACTTGGTCATATTGGCAGGAAGACCTCGATAAACGCATCCTGCCCGGAGTCCATAGTATGCATTATAATTTTCAGAGTCGGAAAGGGATTTGGTACCTTCACAGAAGTTTCGCCGGGATCGTTGCCTTCACAATTAGTGAGCCTTGTCATTGTCAACACCACACCACAACCTGTTAGAGACAAGTGAAATTGATCCTTTGACCAATTATCTGCTTATATATGCTATATATATATTTGAAAATATATAAGTATATATATAAATTGATATATTATTATCAGGTGATTTCTCCTTCATGCTGTTCTAATTACTTATATGTCTGGGCGTGTGTGCTTGCTTGTTTTATTATCTGTACGCGTTATGGGATTAAGCTATGGGAGTAGTTAATTTATGATTCGTGAGATTTCTCTTACAAACTTTTAAGACATTCCTGAATACGTTTTACATACTTTAGGTGGTTATTAGATGTATGGACGCAAAATGAATTATAACATAAGTGTCATTTTGCATCCTTTTGTATGACACCCATGAGGTACGAATCTTCTTATTTAGTGGTTGGCTTGAATGGCGATGATTTACCGCCATGCTGAATCTACATATACTTTGATAGTATATATGAAGACCAGGATGGTGTCGCAATATCCTTTAGCTTCATAGAGTTGATTCGACCTTGTTTTCGCAGCTTGGTCGGATTATTAGGAAGGCCTTGTGGAACATACCTAGTCCCGTGTCCTCTGCCATAGTATTAGTAATTTCCAACATTAGACCATTGGCTGAGTACATTTCCACGTATACTATTTATATTTCGCTCAACTTTAATTTGGTGAGCGTCGTACTTTATGAGACGAGGTCAGCTAATTTGGTTGAGATGCATATAGTTGGTTTCGCCAGTGCCTGATATAAGAATTTGAATTGATTTCAGTGGAATTTCTTGATTAATATAACATAATAGCTGTAGTAATATTGAGCCTGTTTTCCCTTTCTTAG